CTTCACACCAATTCAGGGAATACTTCAAGAGTAATATTGATAATGATAAATGAGATGATCTTTACAAGGCCTCATGGCCGAAATATATAATGCAAAAATAAGGGAAAGTACACTTCACTTTCCTACAAATCATGTGATTAATATCCATGTGTTATTATTCTTAGTGGGCAGCACTCATTGACCAGGAAAAGGAGATTAAAAGGCTGGGATTTTGGCTTAGTATGGTTCATTAATTCCTGCCATGTGAGAAGGAAATCAAGGAAAATTGTAACTTTGACAATTAAGGATAATGTGACAAAGTTTGCACTATTCAATCACTGATTTTGGTTCCTTGATGTTTTTATCTTTATCCTTGGTAAATGGAGTTGTGTTTATGGATATTTGGAGTGGGAAATTCGGCCATAAGCTGAAGGATATGAATGGGATTGGGTTTTGAACAACAGGACAAAATCAGCACTATTCAATCAAGGAAAACTTTTTCCTGATTTTGTTTTTGTTTTGTGGAACATAATGTGGCCTGATTTTTGGGTAAAAGAGTTGGGAAATTCGTGGGTTTGAAGTGGGGAAGTGAAAGGGAGGTTTTATTTTAATTAAAAGGAACAACAGAAGTAGAAATAATACACAAGGCTTGTCCTTCTGACCTCATTCTCGTTCAGAGCTAAAAAGGAGAGAAAAGACTTTATTTTGTTTATCAAATGGAAATAAAAGACTTTGGATATTTGGGAAGGATATGGAAAGGTTTGATATCAAGAAGAGCTTTGGAGGAGCAGGGTTATGGTTTGGGTTTTAGGGTACGAAAGGTTAATGAGTTCAGCCCAAAAAGGATCATAACACTTAGATATTAACCCTTTGATTTGTTTTATGGTTTGTGGTGTAACCTCCGTGCTTGTAGGAGCATCCCAGGGTACATCACCTCCACTGCAGAAACTATTTGTTCCACCTAAGTATGCTTACAACCGACACAGGCCACACTATGCACAACTTAGACAAAACTATAGGTCTTATCAACCTAGGTTTGCCAGGTGGAAACAGGAAAATGCACCACCTGCTCGTAGGAAATTTTATGCATACAACTATAATTACAATCCCAACAAGTTTAGGGCTGCAAGGAAAATTCCCTGCAACTTCACACTTGATGTAGGGACACACACCATTAACTATTCCGGACCCAAACTGAATTGGGTACCTGGAAGCCGCTAAGTACCCAGGTGTCTGGTACTTAGACAGTGGCTGTTCAAGACACATGACGGGTGATGCGAGCCTCTTGAGCAATCTAATTCCCTATGATGGTCCAAGAGTTACTTTTGGAGGAAGCAATGACTTTGGCCTCACTAAAGGGCTAGGAAATCTGGTGTACAAAGGACTAACCATCCAAGCTGTATCTTATGTGGAAGATCTCAATTATAACCTTCTGAGCATAAGTCAGTTTTGTGATAAAGGTTACTCCTTGGAATTCTGCAAGGACATGGCATCTCTCAAAAACATCTCCACAAATGATGTCATTCTCACTAGAAAGAGAATCAGAAACATCTATGAAGTAATGTGGGACGATGTCAAGGAAGCTTGCCTAATCAGCAAAGGTGACACTAACCTTATATGGCTTTGGCATAAGAGGTTAAGTCATCTCAACTTCAAAACTCTCAACAAGCTATCCAAAGAAGGGTTAGTAGAAGGCCTTCCCAAAGCTGTATTCAGGAAGGAAAGCATTTGTGATGCTTGCCAGAAAGGAAAGCAAGTCAAGTCCACTTTCAAGGCAAAACCGGCACCCTCAACTACAAGGATATTAAGTCTTATTCACATGAACTTATTTGGCCCTGTTATTCCAATAAGTCTAAGTGGAAAGAAATATGTCTTAGTGGTAGTTGATGATTACTCAAGATACACGTGGACAATCTTCCTCAATAGCAAGAAGGAAACTCAAGGGAAGCTCACAAACTGCATGAAGTTAATTCAAAACCAAGCAAGTCAGACCATCCAGAAGATCAGATCTGACAAACGCACAGAATTCCTGAATGAAATCATCATTCATTACTGTGAAGAAAACGGAATTCTTCATTAGACATCTGCAGCAAGAACGCCTCAACAGAATGGAGTAGCTGAAAGAAGAAACAGAACCTTGAAAGAAGCAATAAGGACCATGCTAGCCGAAGCTTCTTTGCCAAAGAGGTTCTGGGCTGAAGCTGTTAACACAGCTTGCTATACTCAAAATAGGAGTATGATTTATAAAAGGCACAACAAAACTCCCTATGAATTGTGGAACGGGAGAAAGCCCAACATATCATATTTCCATATTTTTGGGAGCAAGTGTTTTGTGTTAAACAACGGGAAGAATCATCTGAACACTTTTGATGAGAAATCAGATGAGGCCATCTTCCTTGGATATTCTATGGTGAGCAAGGCGTTCAGAGTCTTCAACAAAAGAACCATGATCACTGAAGAGTCAATACATGTTATTTTTGATGAAAAACATGTGGTTGACAAGCCATCAAAGCATAATCATGAGGTTCTGGATCTCTCACACAAGGATGAAGAAATCAATGAAGAAGATAGAATGAAGCCTACGGAGTTCATTACATTCGGAAGTCTACCACTGAAGACTTCACAAAGAAATCCGGATTCAGACGGTGCTGAGCCTACCGGAAATCTCAGCCAGCCTTCCATTATTCCGGATCACTCAAAGCTTTAGGAACATCCGAGTATGAAAACATCAAGATGAAGGCCGGAGAATCCGTTCAAGATATGAACAAACGATTCAACCTCATTGTCAACAATTTGAGAAAGCTAAATAAAGTTTATCCTACTAGTGAGATCAACACCAAGATTATATTCTCTCTTCTTAGAGAGTGGCATAGTCTTGTTGTAAATTTGTTGCCCAAATCCTCATTGTAAGGTTGAAGATAGCCTTAAAATCTTCGGTTGTAAACGGTTGAGATAGCCGTGGTAAAATCTCATTTGCTTATTGGCAAGGGTTGTTTGCCAAACCTCGTTTGAGTCTTCTTAGTGAAGCCAAACAAGTTAGTGGAGGTTAAATCCTTGAGGAGGAGCCTCGAGATACTGGAGTAGGGAGTTCCCGAACTAGTATAAAATCGCTTGTGTCGTATTTTTATCTTTTATACTTTTCTTGCTCTTTTTCCGCTACTACTTTGCGCATAAGTTTTTGTTTTTACGAAAAACTTGCAAACACCCTAATTCACCCCCCTCTTAGGGTGTAAACCGACTTTCAAAAGGTGTTGTGGAACCTTTCTATGGAAGCTCCAGTGTTGAAGGCGAGGCCCATCTGAATGTGGATGTATTTGCTTCCTTCACGATGCCATGGACGCTCCCCTTCTTCCACCGCCGATTCTTGACGCGTAGGGTTCTTGCACCTTGGCATCTTTCCTCTTTGAAATTGATGAAATTTGGTGAAATTTGGTGAAAATGGAAGAAATTAGTGATGAAATTGGAGAAGAGAGAGCTAGGGTTTAGAACTTCTGCGATTTGTAAAAGAGGATTTGGCGAAGAGAGAGCTAGGGTTTCGAATATTAATCGATTAAACTGATTGCTTTAATCGATTAGGACGCATAGACGGGTCTAATCGATTTTATAACAAAAATTAATCGATTAAAAATGAATCAGAATCAAAAGAGTTTGCGCTGAAGGATTTAATCGATTAACAAGAAGGTCATTAATCGATTAAGAGGGACAGAGGCGTCTAATCGATTTCTCTACGAGAAGGAATCGATTAAAAACTATTTCACAAAAAAAATCATCAAGTCCAATTCAGGTTTGATACCACGGGAAGAGATACGTGAAATAAAAGCCCTGCAAATAAGATTTCATCGCGCCTCCGACGCTCATATTAGTAATGTCAATAAAAAGAATGAATTAGTTCATAGAGATATCCAAAATGCCAAGTTCGTTCCGAATGTGGAAGAAACTCTCCCTACTAAGGGGTTTCGTGAAAATGTCCGCCAATTGATGTTTCGTTTCAACAAACTCAATTGTGACATCTCCCTTTTGGACATGATCTCGTATGAAGTGATGCCTAATTAAGGCCAAAATCCACTAGTTGCTGTTTTAGCCAAAGAATTTGGGCACAACAACTTCCCACATCGACATATTCTGCTTCGGTGGTGGAAAGTGCAACACTAACCTGTTTCTTACTAAACCACGAGATTAACGAATGACCGAATAAGTGGAAAGTACCGTTGGTACTTTTCCTATCGAGTTTGCAACCTGCAAAATCCGAGTCGGAATAGCCAACAAGATGACATGTTGAACCTTTGGGATACCAAAGACCTACATTCAACGTGCCCGCGAGATATCGCATAATCCTTATGATTGCAACCAAGTGCGACTCTTTAGAACATGATTGATACCTGGCGCATATACAAACGGAGTACATGATATCCGGTCTACTCGCGGTAAGATAAAGTAAAGAGCCGATCATACCTCGGTAGCATTTGATATCTACCACTTTACCTTTTTCGTCCTTGTCGGGATAGCAAGAGGTGCTCATCGGCGTGTCAATGGATTTGGATTCGGTAACATCGAATCTCTTGAGCAATTCCCTACAATATTTCGTTTGACACACGAATGTTCCTTCTTTGCATTGTCTAATTTGTAGCCCAAGGAAAAATTTAGTTCTCCCATCATCGACATTTCAAATTTGCTTTGCATCATATCGGAAAAATCCCTACACAAAGCTTCATTAGTAGCACCGAATATGATATCATCTACGTAAACTTGAACCAAAAGGATGTCTTGGTTATCTTTCTTGATGAAAAGAGTAGTGTCGACTTGACCCCATTTGAACTCATGGTCCAAAAGAAATTTGCCTAACCATTCATACCAAGCACGAGGTGCTTGTTTCAGACCGTAAAGTGCCTTTTTGAGTTTGAAGACATGTTCGGGAAACTCATAGTCTTCGAAACCCGGAGGTTGTTCGACATACACTTCCTCTTGAATGATACCATTAAGGAAGGCACTTTTAACATCCATTTGATAAAGTTTAAAATCCATCGTAGATGCAAATGCAAGTAATAAACGAATAGCTTCTAAACGTGCAACCGGTGCATAAGTTTCTCCATAATCAATGCTTTCTTCTTGATTGTAGCCTTTAGCTACAAGCCTAGCTTTGTTTCTAGTGATTACTCCATTTTCATCAAGTTTGTTACGAAACACCCATTTTGTGCCAATAACAAAATGATCATTAGGTCTAGGCACCAATTCCCAAACATCATTGTGTTTACATTGGTTAAGCTCTTCTTGCATTGCCATAGACCAATGTTCATCATTAATAGCATCCAAAACGGTTGTTGGTTCAATTTGAGAAACAAAGGCCATGTGATTAATTGTGTTCCTAAGATAATTACGAGTAGAAACTCCCTGCGTTATGTCACCAATGACATTGTCAATCGGGTGATTCTTCAACGTTCTCCACTCTTTAGGAAGCTCCATTTGCTCCTGCGTTTTCTCTTCTTCCGGTTCTTTTTCCTTAATGATTTCTTCTTCATCGTCATAACAACCTGCAACATTATCAACAATACCTTTTCTTGCTAAGCGAGCATCAAATTCATCGAAAATAACATGAATAGACTCCTCTACAGTCTTAGTACGCTTGTTGAACACTCTATATGCCTTACTACGAAGAGAATAACCTAAGAAAATTCCTTCATCCGACTTAGCATCAGATTTTCCTAAGTTATCTTTTCCATTATTATGAATAAAAACTTTACATCCAAAGACATGAAAATAAGAAAGGTTAGGCTTTCTTCCTTTGTAAAGTTCATAGGGCGATTTCTTGAGTATCGGTCTAATGACGGCTCGGTTTAACACGTAGCACGCGGTACTCACGGCATCTGCCCAAAAATATTTAGGAAGGTTTGCCTCATTGAGCATAGTTCTAGCCATCTCTTCAAGAGACCTATTTTTCCGTTCAACCACGCCATTTTGTTGTGGTGTAGGGGGCTGAGAAATTATGCTCAATGCCTAATTCGTCACAAACGACATCAAAACCGTCTTGATCAAATTCTCCCCCATGATCATTTCTAATGGATGCAATGTGAGAATCTTTTACATTTTGAACCAATTTAATAAATTTCTTAAAAGCATTAAGTGCATCATACTTATGAGCTAGAAAGAGTGTCCATGTAAACCTCGAATAGTCATCAACGATAACAAAGCCAAAGTAATTTCCTCCTAAACTCATGGTTCTTGAAGGTCCAAAAAGGTCCATGTGCAAAAGTTATAATGGCCTAGTCGTAGAAACAACATTCTTTGACTTAAACGAGGCCCTTACTTGCTTCCCCTTTTGACATGCATCACAAATTAGATTCTTCTCAAACTTAAGTTTAGGAACACCAATTACTAAGTCTTTAGATCCAACTTATTAAGGTGGTCCATATTAACGTGAGCTATCCGATGATGCCATAGCCACGTTTCTTCCTCTTTGGTAATGAGGCACTTAGCTAAGATAGACGAGGAATTTTCAAGATCAAACATGTAAATGTTGTCTACTCTACTACCACAAAGAATAGTCTTATTGTCACACAAGCATTCTACAATGCATTTACTAAAATGAAAGATGACACGGTTACCTGTATCGCACAATTGGCTAATGCTAAGAATGTTAGAATAAAGGCCCAACGCTAGAGGGGGGGTGAATAGCGTTTAAAACAAAATCGCAGGAAATTAAAACGAGAGCGTTAAAGTAAAGAGCATAAGGAAGGAACACACCGAGTTTTATCCTGGTTCACCACAACGTGTGGCTAATCCAGCCCCCCGAGAGACTCTCTCGAGCTACACTAACTCCGTTAAGCTTAAGGGTGCTTAACAAACCGATACAACTTGAGAACCCGAGTCACACGAGCCTCAACACCTTTGCTCGGAGATACAGCACTCCAAGACTTCTCACGAATGAACAAGGAACTTCCTTCGAGTTTACAACAAGGGAACAACCTCCCTTAAAGTGTATGAAAACACTTAAACACTCAGGAATAAAACTCTCACAAAGAGTAGATATGAGTGAACTAGTAAACGCTCAAGAACACGACAATTTCTTCAAGAATTGGCTCTCAAATAGCTAAGAAAAATAGGAATGCTTATGCAATGAAAGAGTATTGAAATGTTGAAGAATTGTGTGTCAAATGAGAGGATTTGGGTGCCATTTTATAGCCCAAAATGGGATAAACCCGTTGCTAGAATTTC